TGTGACTCTGTAGGACTCTGCAGGTCAGGGAATGCTGTCTTACTTGTCCTGCCTCATGACTGTAACACCTTCCCCTATGACTGACAAGACCCACAGAAATCCCAAAGGACGACCGTGGATCAGGGATGGCCATGATAGGTCACGTTGCCAAGCCCTTCCATGCTTCTGACCCAGAGCCGGGCTCTCACCCTCTCTGTCCCCAAGGGTGAGCAGCGGTCCCCAGCACCCATGGCTACAGCATGGTCTTAGGGGACCATGATCATCCGGGAGGTTTGTGTGGGGACTGCAGCAGACTGGTCCCCAGCATTTCAGACTAAAGGAGAAAGTGAGGTTTGCATTGAACTCCAAACATCTGTCAGGCTCTTAGCCGGTCCTGTTTGCCCTTCAACCCTGCTGGCTTGAGTGGTGTGGTCACGTGAGGGGTGTGGTCAAGTGAGTGGTGTGGTCAAGTGAGTGGTGTGGGGTCTTTGAGAGCCTCTCCTCCTGGGGGATCAGGCTTCAGACTAAGGGTGGGAGACACACAGGAGCCAGCGGCCACAGGTAGGGCCTGCAAGGCAAAGGGCTCTGGCCATCAGGAAGGGCTTCCCAGGAGGAGCAGAGGAGCGCTGTGGCTGAGTCCTTGGTGTGGGAGGGGCACAGAGTCCAAAGCAATTCGAGGCCTGGAAACCACATGTGCAAAGGCTGATTACTGGGGCGGGGCTGGAGAGAGTGTGACATGCTGGAAAACCCGGCCACATTCATTGTATCCAAGAAGCCTCAGGGCGAAAAGTCTGGACAAAGGCAGGGAGAGCAAGAGATACAGGCGGATGCATCTCAAGCCCTGATACAGGGAAGGGGGCAGGAATGAGGTCAACTTACCCTGGTGGGACAGGCAGGGAGAGGAATTACAATGATCTGTGGTGAGACAAGAAGAGGGACAAGGGGTTCTGTCTGGGGACAGGAGTCCAGATGTCACCAGGGGAGAGGACACACTGAGCAATGACAACAGTAGGCACCAAGGGCTGTGTAGAGGATGGGTAGCAGGAGAGGGAGCAGGGGAGGCTCACAGCGCCCTCTGCTGGAAGGAAGGCCCCAGTGCCCAGCCCAGCAGGAGGAGGCCCCATTTCCTTGAGATTCAGGCCCTGGAAGGCAGGATTGCTGTCAAGTCTGGTCCCCAGGTTCAGTTCCAGGCCTGAAGCTCAGAGGAAGGGTCC